GGATTTTGTTTTGTGACAGCCTGCTCAGTCATATAATTAGCCTGAAATAATGTCTTTAGGCTGTCAAGGCAAAAGACAGATCGTGTAATGGCTATGTAAAGTGCTGTACAAAGCCACTCTTGATAAAATTTCGCAGCGATGATTTCCGGAAATAAGCAGAATTATGACTTATCCTGACCTTACGTTTGCTTATGTTTTAGCGCGTTATTTTTAGCGAGTTTAAATACGTCCAAATCTTCCTGTTTCTTCCGGTGCTTTTAAAAGTGGGGACACAACTTTTAAAACGTGCAGAATATCTTAATAAGCCGCTTAGACGCTTCTCAAGAACCAGACTCTTCAATAAATTTAACCTGGGTCCCGTTTCCCGAAACCCCCGGAAACTTTTTTGGTCCGCAAAGCCTAACCCTAAAAACAGAGAGGTTTATGCGCCCGAAACTTCTTGTATGAAGGGAACCTCTATTCATATGAAGAATTTGTGAATAAAATGGCAATGTAATCATAAGATTTAAGATTTTGCTATGGCTTTCCGGGTGCGAAAACTTTACGGCATTTGAGAAACGGGCACCTGGTCGCAGAGGCTTTCTCTTTCCTATTTCTCTTAAAAGGAAAAGAAGGGATTCCTAACAGACCAAGGTACATCTATTCATTTGAGGAAAAAAATATTAAAAAAAGCAGAACAAAAATTCAGTTGTTTGAATCTTTATTCCAGTATTGTATCGATCTGCTGACTGCTGAGTGGATGAAATTATTGTAACCTCCACATTGAATAGCAACCTCCCCACTGAAAACTCAATTTTGTTGAACATTTCAATTATCCGTGCACACCGTAGGTGTGTTATTTGTTTAGCGATTTCAAATACGTCAAGATATATCTATTTCACCCTCTGCTTTGAATCGGGTGAGAACAGATGTTTAAGAGGATTTCCGCTGAACTTTCGAGCAATAAAGACAAAAATAAAGTTATTAAAAATCACAAAGGATGGTAATATTTTGAATACAGATTTTAGCTCTCAAGCTGACCCCACGAGAGAAAACTAAAATTTGAAATTATCCACATTTGAATTAAAACAGACCCTTGACGTCAGTTCAAAACAAAATAACCCAAAATTTATGCAGTTTTTACGAGGTTTGACATTACGTTTCTCGAAAATGCTTGACAATTTAATCATGGGGTCACTAAAAGAAATGAATAACAGCGAGATTTTTCAAATAGTATTCGAAAAGTTACCTGCTGAGACTAAATTTAAGGTAAATAATTTTTTGCACCTATTGCTCGAACTTTCAACGGAGCGGAGTCCGAGCTATAATACTTTTCATTCTTTTTGTCAGATTTTTTGCAAATAACGTTCTGAAATGAACTGTCATCTATTTCACTAATCTCATGTAAATATCTTTCATGTCAAAGTATTTTCTAAGATATTGTTGCCTTCAATCACACCTGTCGTTGCACCTACGCTTGATAAATCTTCGACAGACTCACATCTTCTGTTAAAAGTATCTACTTTTATGTACAAGTAGTGGACAGTGTCAACAGTCGTCGAGAAAAGACAGCTTGGTTGTGTACGAATTTAAATCTTATGGTCTCCTTCCACTTTGCGATGTTAGCAATCGTCTCGCGCTCTGTATCTGTTGCAGCCTGTGTGGTCAACGCAGTCAGTTCGCTTGTGGCCGTGGTTGGTAATGCTCTCATTTTGGTAGCAATCTACAAGAATCCATCCCTTCGCACTCCTTCTTACATTCTCCTTGCTGGACTGGCGCTCACTGACTTCTTCACAGGCCTCCTACTTCTACCAGTCTCTGTTGTGTTTACCGTATTGGTTGAATTTATGAAGAAGGGGTCGCCAAGCTTGTGCCTTATTATGGTCATTTTCCAACATGGGATTGGTAGCTATTTAGGTTTTACCGCAATCTTTGTGATCACAGTCATGTCTGTTGAGAGATGGTTACTCATCAGCCGCAGGTCTACTGCAATCACCACGCACCGTATTTTCAAAGCGTATGTGGTCATCTGTCTGCTACCGACGCCTTTCATTACGTCCCGTTTGGCTCGGTCTTTGGATGGTTGTGTCCACAACAAATTGGATGGTGCAGAGGGGATCGTGGTTTTCGTCTGTCTCCTAATAACATCAGTGTTCTATTTTAAAGTTCTCCAGATTATTCGTCGTCACCAACTCCAAATTCAAGCGACCCAACCAAATCAAGGCTTTGGCCAGGCAGCAATCGACATTGCAAAGTACAATAAATCGGTGATAATGCTACTTTACATCTTAGCATTGTTTTCTGTTTGTTACCTTCCCTCTGCAATCTTCCTTCAAGTGACGTTATTTTATCAAGATTTTCAGTACACTACAGAAGTAATCATCCTGACAAACATTTTATCCACCTTGTATTATCTATCTTCTGCTCTTAATCCTCTTCTCTATTGTTGGAGAACAAGGGATTTACGAGTTAGGGTTAGACAACTATTAATGAGAATATTCCAACAGAATGTTTGAAACAGTTACATATCGCCGAAAAGACGTATTGATGGAGGTCCGTTAAGGACGGCGCATGCAAAATGTATGTAAGGTAAATATGTAATTTGTTTACCCACGGAGCACCAAGGAGCCCACAAGAACTCGTTCATAAATGCCAGTGCATTCCAGAATCAAATTTGAATTTGTAAATGTTGGTTTTTGAGGAGAGGGGAAAATCGGAGTACCCGGAAAAAAAACCTCTCGGAGCAGAGTAGATAACCAACAACAAACTCAACTCACATATGACGCCGGGTCCGGGAATCGAACCCGGAACACATTGGTGGGAAGCAAGCGCTCTCGCCAATGCCTCTGCTCCCTTTAAAGGGGAGCAGGGATGGCACATATTGAAGAAAATCGGTTTTTCTTTCAAGTTTCCTCGTTCACAACCCGTCTTCATCTTCCTTAGTCGGAGCCGTGCGTACATATTCTCGACTTTATTTTATTTTATTTTTCATTTGTAGTAGAGATTCCTACAACTTGAAATTAATTTTGTTCTGGAAAATAATTTACTTTATGAGCACAGTTTTTTTTAATTGGGAGAGAGAGGTGTGTTTAACAAAACAGATGAAAGATATATACTCACCACAACCCAGGCCTTTTAAAGTTATATTGCAATATTATTTAAATCAAAAATGTCATCTACAGGCATTTTTTTACAATTTGTTTAATAACTTATACGCTGTATATTATCTGTGACAAAGAAAAATGATTGACAGGTGATTAATCTACAGTTGGCGTATTTAAAAAGTACACGAGTATAGCAAATTTATCCGAATGCATTTCCTTTTTTGCTGCTCTAAGAGATTAAAAATGATTATGTTTATTCAAAAGTACAAAGATCATTTCATCTATTTTGATGAAATATTTGGTTTACTTCTATTACATACTCAGTATTGGGTTAATTGCGAAGCCGAAAGCTCATTCAATTCTTATCTAGATAAACATCTTCGGATTTCGGTTCGTTATCCCAATATGTTTTTCTTTCGAATCAATCATATGAAATATGAATGGACTTTAGATAAACACCACAAATTTAATGAAAATCTATTGCTGTTTTATCCTTGTTGCAAGATGTATACAAATCGTGCGCTAGATTCGTATCTTTCGAAGTTACTGCCCACAAAACCCACGACTATACTTTTTCGCTTGATTTTCGCAAAAGGATACCATATTAAAAACCTGGAAGTCTTTTTCAAGACGCAGGAATCTTATAGTAATATAGTGAACACCAACCAAGCCAATTAATAATTTTCTTTAGGCTGTTGTTTTCATGTACACTACCCTCAGCATCCCCTTGAAGGGATGTCTTTATCCCGCATGCTCGTGCGCATGTTAACCACTGACAAAAATTTTGTGTTACATGTCAATGTTTTCCTGCCAAGAAACGCTTCGGGTTTGGAAGACGAGCAATTCCACCTCGACGAGCGGGTATGTGTTCTGTAAGGGAAAATAAAATATCATGCAGAAACTAAAAACAAGGAAAAAGACAAGAGACAATACAGCTCTAAGAGATAAGACCCACAGGCAATGGTAAAACGATGTATTTTTGTATTTTTGTGTTAAAAGAAGGCGCGCAAAATGTTGGGAAAAAATCATTTTAATGTACTGTACATTTAACGTGTCGTAAAATATTTTGTTACTCAAGGGTGTGGTGAAAATAAATAAATAAATAAAATCACTATATTTCAGAGTCGAAGTGTTTAGCACTTCTGTCTAATTAGGGACACTAAAAATAAGCAAAAACAAATATTATAACTTGAGCAGGAACTTGTTAAAGATCCCAACTGGTGGAAGACTAACCATGTGACTATTTAATGAGGCGAAATTGAATTTGATACCACCAAGCATGGACTCATGCAGTGGCAGGGAGAAGGATCTGAACCAAGGGCCTCTTCAGCGGATGATCTGTTAAACATATGACCTACCGATGATTTCATCACATTTTTGCTTAACTCGTGATATCTTGTCTTGTCTTGTCTTTCCAAACAGCAATGCATCAAAGTCATGCTCGCTCTCTGAGGGTTTAATATCGAGCGATGGTTGCCGCTACCTATCTCTCAGTGGTTTGCCAATAGGCGGTAACCGGCTTATGTTAGACCATTTTAGCCGTGGTGGTATTTTAAGTATTATATCAAACACGAGAGACAGTGTTTCATCGGGATATCCAACAACCGAGAAGAGAGTTGAAAAGACGACGCGCAGCGGAGTATTTTTGACGAAATTCGAGATGTTTGGATAAAACACTGTCTTGAGTGTTTGATATATCTTCTTAATCGAAACAAAAACTAAGGAGTAAACGGAGAAGTAAAGTCGTCAAAATCTATGCTAATTAAGACCGGGTATCCAAACCTCTTTCGCAGTTGTGATTTTCTTTGTTTTAACTTGATGAATTATTAATGAGTTTGAGAAGCTTTTTACTTACTGGTAAACTTGTACACTTCCATACTCCAGGGTCCTCCTCTTCCATCTGGCTTGCACGCGCTTGAGGCTCCATACATGTTGTATGTTTCTAGAATATCCTTACCGCCTAAACACTGGCCGCCATTTTCCAAAGCAAAGGCAGGAAATCCCTGGACCCTCGCGATGGTTGAACATTTTTTAATTGCATATTTGCGTAACATGTAGTCGTTTCCATCTAACATTGGGAATATTCCTTCCAGACTAGGAAGCGCTCTCTCGGGTTGATCTCGCCAACAGCCGATGCTAAAATAATCTGTGGGAGAAGTACTGTAAATGCAAACGGCGGCTAACCATAAAACCCTTCATATACAACTACGTAAAATTTCAACGTTTATTCCGTTTGTCCTTTAATACACGAGGCCCCACCAAAACATTTCACAGGTATAGGCCTTGGGAAAAACGCAACTAAAACTGCCATACAAACTGAGAAAACCGTTAAAACCGAGTGAACTGAGGTTTGAAGTCGGTGGCCCTCGTGGTCTCCGTTCAAAAAGGACCATCTGTACGTATGCACGAGACTAAAAACCGCTGCTGGCACAGGAAAACCCACCTAGGTCATAAAAAACTCAGCAGGCACAAATACAATGACTTTCTTTTACTTGTCGAGTCTTTGTGAGGCAATCCCCAATTGACAGATACAAATACCCACTTCGAAATGACATCAAGTCAATGGCTTACTAAGCTTAATAATCTATGCTGTGCTACTAACCTGGAGCATGTTTAGTTCTGTTCATGCCACCTTTGGAGAAAACTGAAAAAAACGTTGTTAATGCTGAACGCCGGTGAACAATAGAGGTCTAGTCTTGTGTTTACAATTATGTTGTTAAAGATGTTCATGTCCTCTGATAATTCACCTGGCTGATTATCGTATATTTATTTTAAGGTTAACTCTGAGAATCTCGTTCCATATAGGGTGGATATCTTCTATTTGATGATTGCCTTTATTCTCATAACCTGATGTTTATAAGATTATCGATACTGTGAGGAGAAATTGGCCTTAGGTCACTTTACCATGTGGGCGAGATGGCTGAAACTTTCTTTCCCTTGTATTATCAATGGGTTCTAAGAGTAACAAAACAAACATCAAGTTTAGCAAGTTTTCAGTCTTTTTCTGCCGGTGTTTCTGGCCTCATTGCAATATTGATTACTTTTTAGATTAACTACAAGTTCTTAGTGTTATTTATAGTCAGTAATGAATAGATGGTCTAGACGCATGCCATATAGGTCTTAAACTGGGCGAAGAGGAAACGTGGATAGGGAAGGACGAAGAAACAAATATTGCTACACAGAAAGGAAGCTACAACGCTACGCTTTTTCATTAACCAACACCTATGCGGCACTAAGAGAAGGGAAGTATATTTACTTCTGTACATTACTTGCTAAAAATTTCGGACGTTTTAGTTTGGGCGTTTAATTTTCGGACACCGGACACTTTTTATCTCATTTCGGACAAATTTCAGACAAAAATTTCGGACACTTTGCTGAAGCATAGCTTAACAGCAGCTGAAAAAATGATAGTTTGACTGCTCCTTCCAGGTTTTACGGAAGCACCGACAAAAAAATGGCACAAATTCTATCAAGCCATTACATATCTCAAGCATTGTCTCAACTAGAATTCCTCCAAAATGGAAACTAAGAGCTTTCGAACTACTTAAAAGCTTTATACTGTACTGTAAATATTTCGGACGTTTAAAAAGTTGAGACGGTTTTATTTTCGGACCCTCTTTTTGTCCGAAATTAATATCGTCCGAGATTTTTTTGCAAGTAATGTAAACAAACGAGAGTAGGAAAGAATGCAATTATTATTCGATGAATTGATTAGGCGCAAAAAGCAGATGGTTGAAATATAATACCTGGAAGTATTTGTGCCAAGTTGTTAAGCTGAATTGGATTGAGTAACCGCTGACCACCTGGCGTTTTTATGACCTGCGGTTTCACGGGCATATTAAAATGCGGTGCTGAGGCAAAGAGGTAAACATTTGTCAGTAAGAAAGCTTTTTTGTTGAACTTTTAACGACAATGTTTTCTAACTGCTCAATGGTCATCTTGATTAATGGGTTTAACCGTGCCATTTTTTGCATGGTTGATGATCTTTTTCTACATTTCCTTGACCCCTATGATTGATTACGTATCAATCGACTGATTAGGAATTTTACTTTTATATATCCCACAACTTTTTTAAAAGAACATAGAAGACCTTATGCGTCTCAAGGCGCGACAAGGACTAAATGATGCTGACGAAAAGAACATAGTGTTTTACTGTTATAAATCATCGTTACTATTATGTATTCCCAAGACCCATTACGTTTCCCACATGACAACACTTCAGAAAGCTATTTATTTTTCATACTTAGAGTTGACGTTTCATGCTCTTTTAAGGCAGGGACTGGTATATCATTGGCCCCTAATACATGCATGCGTGTCTCTCCCTTGGAACCTTGGGCAACAAGATAAGGAACATTTCAGTTGCTTAGGTATATCTTTTACATGATGGTTAGATAAAGACTAAAACAATACAGTTGTCTGAGTCTTGACTGTATTACAGTCGTCAATAATCTTCCGTTTTACGTGTCCCGTTGGTAACTGGCTTTCTTTCTTAATGCATTGAATTCTCACTGATTGTTTCGAGACTAGTGTCACAGGCATTATGAACTAGTTATAGAGCTCATCAAATGCCAAATTGTACTGCACAGAAACAATTACAACTAGCTAATGCAGTGGTCGCGACTGAGATGTTGTGAGAATCCTCCAAATTATTTACTCGCAGTCTAAAGTACTGACTAAATAAAGATCTTGATACAAAACTCGTTGCCTCGTTAAAAAATTATCGAAGGACGCGTACAATCATATCGTATCGTTATAAATTATCTTCTCACCTGGAGTTTCTTTTGGTGAGATTGCAGCTGCCTCTGCAATGTAGACAATAACAATAATTTAATTTTGTTAGGTAATCGCCAAAGAGACGAGACTGGCTTTAAAACGTTCTTCTATCAAAGAGGTCAGAATCGCGCTTTTTTCCATCTTATGAGAGTGAGATGTCAAAGATTATTAAGGTTCAGAAGAGCTTTTGATTGGTCAGCCGTTACATCAATGAAGCCAATCAAAAACTCAGGTCTGAGTACGAACAAGGACAGTTTAGACGGTTTTCAATATTAAAATAAAACACTGACCTGGAATGTTTATTTTTAATCCTGGATTTAAGACATTCTGTTTACCTGTAAAATCAACAAAAGAATATCATCTCCAAGGGTATCAAAATAATTGAGGAGAGTTTTGGACGGTTTTCGAATGTCTCTAGAATGCACCAAAACATTTTTTCCAAAATTCTTCTCATATTTACGATTAGTTTGGTTTTTAACTGCCAAAATGTTTAAAATGGTCGGTTTCGTTGACCAAATTACCAAGGAAAAACCTTAAACGCTCATTGCCACAGAGCTTCTCAAGACGATTCGGTGGCAAAACAGTTAGTGTGGAAATAAGTTTGATATGCATGGATAGGAAAAGAGCTGTAGAGCTCTCATTTGTTCACATGAAAGATTTACACACTGAAAACACGCTGTGCAAACAAGAAGTGAAGAAGCTATGGTATTGTCGTATTATTGTAGCAGCTGTTATTATTGTAGATCTTGAGCCATTGTTTCTGTTGTTTTGTCCCTGAAGGGTATCAGCCATTCATGTAAGATCTTACAAGAGCTGCTACATCACCCAATGCAACAGAGACAACGCCAGTTCAAAATGATATAACAGAGCAACAAAAACTGTGATGCTCACCAGTAAATCGGCAAACCATACCATACCTTTGTCTTTTTTCTTGGTAAGAAAGTTAACTTCCATTTCCGCTTGTTTCTCGAGTTCTGTGAGAGAAGGTGTATCGTCCTGTATGGGCTGTTTCTTTTGCGCGTCCTGGGTGGACGGAGGAGCCGGTTTTGGGGTCACGGGCTTAGGACTCAGTGGTGCAGAATTTGGTTTGTCTGTCTCGACAAGGGCTAGCAAGTCCGTGCCCAGGTCCGCTAGACTATTTGCTTTGCCGGGCTGTTTGCTCCCACCGGGCTCAGGAAATTTGTGAATATAAATGAGCTTTTTGACACCTGTGTAAAACGAAGACATTGAAATAAAATTTTCATTTAACATTTTAACGTAAAATTAAGATTCCACCTTTCAATATAGTATGGGATCACATTTACACAAAGGAACCTGTACCTAAAAGAATTTAATTTCTCCACAGCATTCTGAGTCAAACGATAGCCTAACGTTTATTGCAATCCATTTCCACTCCCCTTACTACTGTAGGTTTTAGTGTCAGTATAATCTGAGCATACTGATGACTCTGTTCGCGGGCGCAAACACGAAATTACAGCTAATCAGAGGCGCGACAAGATCTTTTCTAGTGACGTCATTAGGGTCCTGTCTCTTCCTTCCTTGGGAACATTCCTTTCTCGAAAGAAGAAGAGATAGGAACCTGGAAACGAGGTTGAGACGTAGCCATACCAGGGGAAGAATTGGGCGCCTCAACCGACTGGGGAGGTCTGCTTAGTTAGTAAAGTCACTCCATCGTTTGTCATCCTTGCCTTGCTCGAGCTCTTCCCTTTATCTAGTCCATTAATCGTAAGATTTCACTTTCCAGGAAAACGTTTTGGCTGTTCTTTATGTGGTAGACAAGAAAATTAAGGTAGGTTTTTTCGTTCTACTCTTTGATAAGCCTGTTATGTGATTTGTGCTCACCTTTCCTTTTATTAGCCTTAGCGGCCTCAACTTGTAGCTCCCTAATCGCCTGTTCCGTCGCCCTCTTCAAATCTTGAAGTGTATCCATCTCTGACTTCTCGGATTGCTCCTCGTCCTCGGAATATTGGTACTCGGATTTTAATTTTCGCAGCTTCGTTCGAAGCTTTCTTAATTTCATTTTTAAATCCTGGTGAAAAAATATGTAAAGTTATGTGAAGTTATTTTAACGTTCTTCAATTCTAAAGGTGATGTGAAAATTTGAGCTAAAAACACTGAACTTGATTTTTAGGGAGCCAACCTAATAAACGTTGGAGTTAAATAATCAAAGGTAAACACATTCGGCACTTCATTTCCTCTGGATATTTTAACGGAGTAGTTCTCGGACCCTGAATAGAAAAGGCCCACTCTCCAAGTTTTATAGGACTTAGCTATTAAAATGTCTGGTTGCGAAGGCTCAACAACATCACACTAAAAAAGACATAAGAATTCAGGTTGTTTTGCATTTCACTTTATGAAAATTGCTTTACCTTTAGTTTCTTTTGATGCTCTTTATTAGCCTTTATTTGAACCTTCAGTGCCATTTCGGCTGGTGAATAGAGAGCTGTGGAGTAGCTTGGTCGCTTTGGCTTGTCACTTGCGTGCGCGTGCACAGTTTGACCCGGTACGATGGGCGCAATGGCCAACGGACGTTGCATATAATTTGGCACACTTTGCTCGTCTGGCGCGTTAGAAGGCTGGGAATCTTCCATCTAGAACAGAAGAAAGATAATCTGGCTGGTTAATTGTCCATGAGACTAAGTACTGCGGCGTTAGTGTAGTGTATATTTAATGTTAAAAAGTAGTAATGTAAATTTCTGACCTGGAAGGAGGCTAGTTCAAAGGCGATAGTTTGGGATCACAAATTTTTAACTCTTCGTTATTACCAGAGGGTAGAATTGAACCTGGGACCCTATGCGCCATGACAACTTCATCCCGACCTTCGCTCAGACAACTATTTACAACTGAAAGCGTTTGCCTTCAGTTCAATCGCTGATTCCCTTTTTAAATGACTCTACCGAAATACGAAGTTGCCAGATCTGTTTTTAGAAATTTGTATTTTCATGTTTTGATTGTTTGAGGACCACAGGTTTATTAGCGTTTAGCTATCTAGTGGTACCCTCACTAAATAAAGTGTTAACTTGCTTAGTTACTAAAAGGGAGCTGTATCTAACTTGAAGAAAATATCGACATCTTAAGCTCCGAGCTAAAAGAGTTATCTATTCTTCTTCCAGCCTCAGTAGTATTCCCTCACATTCTAGCACTGTAATCTTACGATTAAATTATTGGCATGGATGGTCTTCTTACCTCTTGGTTGGTGTCATCCTGACTTCCCATCCCTGCAGCATGTCCCTCGACGTTCATTCCACCTATTTTAATCCCATGCCCCATTCCTCCCATGCTCATGCCCATCCCCAGCCCCATGCCCATTCCATTTCCCATACCATTCATTCCATTCCCCATACTATTCCCCATGCCTCCCATCCCTCCAACTCCCTCCATGCTATTATCCATTCCGTTTCCCATCCCATTCCCCATTCCATTTCCCATCCCATTTCCCATCCTATTTCCCATCCCATTCCCCATCTCAAGATTAAGCCCCAGTGATCCAAGATCAAGATTGCCTAAGTCTCCTCCCATGTTATCGTTGTTGTTGCTCATACGTCCACCAGCACCTCCCATTCTTCCTCCCCCGCCACCACCACCACCACCGCCACCTCCTCCTCCCCCTCCGACCATTATTTGTCCCAGAAGCTGCTGCAGGGAATTGTCGGACATCCCATTGCCACCTAGATCGTCCATCCCAAGATCCATTCCTGTAAGTAAACGACAAAGACACATTTCACATTACATCATCATATTTTGGTTTCCTCAATAAGTAGTGGGTTGATGTTTCCCATACAGACAAACCTAAGTTATTATTATTACCGCTTGTTCAAAACCAATCTTAAACCATCCAAGAATCAATAAGAATGTGTTAGTGTACTTGCTAAAGCACATTAACTCACACATTGACAGATAATGAGACTTCTTTTCTCACCACTGTAGGTCACATCGCCTGAAAAACATTTTTTAACTATTTCATGTCATGGTGTGGCAGATAAAGCCTATATGTAAGATTAACGATCCCACCCTACATTCTCTCTTGCTGAAGTGCAATTGGATATGCTAAGTATGTTAACTTCTATCTACTACAGGAAGCAAATAATTTGAATTAACGAGTTCAATGAAAGCATGGGTAGTTTAAGAAAACAAAGTAAGACAGATTATAATGTTATTACAACGTGCACCCACCGCCGACTCCTTGTCTGCTTCCACCTCCCATGTTAAGTTTTTCTTCTAGAGAGTTTACCAAATTGTCACTGCCGTCACCATACTGCTGACTTTGTGAGAGTCCCCCTGTCAATGAATCGAGCCCAGTCAAACCTGTCGAAGCAGTGTTTGCAGTGTTTCCCAAGACGTCCAAGCCGTTATTCTGATATGCGCTCACTGAGTTTAACGAATTCAAGTTAGATGTCCCTCCTCCGGCTAAGTTTGACACATAAGAGTTCAAACCAACGTATGAATTACCACCTGTTTGTGCTGAGCTTAAAGAGTCCAGTCCCGCAGCGGAAAGATCGCTCAATGCTGATTGGCTTTGACCATTGCCAGCTGTATCTCCATAACTTGAACCAAAGTTGTGCCTGGTATCCAATACCGCATTAGAACCCAATACATTCGTACCGCCCGTTCCATACCCGGTGGCAAGCATTGTCCCGACGCCAGCACCATAGTCTGCAGAAAGACCCGTCCCGTAAGTACCACCTGCCCCGTAACTTGTCCCTAGTCCCGTTGCAAGCCCCGTGCCATAACTGTCCGTTGTCGTGCCTGTTAAACCTAATCCCAGTCCATTCCCTAAACCTAACCCACCCCAGTTGGCAACTATAAACTGCTTTTTCTTTTTATGCTCTCCACGACTCCTTGCCCAACGTGGATTAGAAGAGAGAGTTGCCTTTTTAATCGTAGTCTTGGGCCGCAGCGATATTTGCTCGCTTTTGCTAAGTGCAGGGCCTTTCGTACCAAGTAAACGTTTCCTTGCCAATGGAAATGTTGCCGTTGTCTTCCCATTTGCACGTTGTGACCAATATGATTTGGCAGCTAAGTTTTTAGCATTCAGCATTGTTTCCCTTGCAGGGAGAACAACCTTGCTTGGAATACTTTTAGAATTGTATCTATTTTGATAGGCACCGTAACGGATTTTTGTAGGAACATAATGAAGACTCCAATAATTGTTCCTTGAAATTCTTGGTGTAAATAGGTTTGGTGCCAGTGGATCCTTGGCCCTTGGAGATGGTCGGTACATTTGACTTTTGTATGATCCTTGTAGACGTGGTGAAGCTGTAAAAATTGAGTTAGATTTCCTTAATTGTGGTTTCTTGCACTGGATTTCCAATAGCAAAAGTTTAAATATATGTTCCACTCTTACGGCCTTAAAACGACAAATAATTATCTCGTT